ACCTTTTTAGTAACCCTCTCTTTCTACCAATACCTTTTTAGTAACCTGAGAGGAATACATCATCCGTCTTGTGCATATTCACAAGACACATTTTATCTTTTAGATTTTGGGATAGGCCTAATCAAATCCCAAGAGTTAGCTCAAGCAGTGAGGATTGTTAAAGCCTTATAAGGGGGGTATTTCGGCGAATCACTAGCCGATGTGGGATCTTTTCACTCGTTCTTACCCTTGACTAGACATCTAAAGCATGGACAAATGCAGGTGGCCTACTAACAACACCCTTCATGCCCACTACTAGACATTTAGAAAGCAGACAACTATGAATATGAAATTTGTTACCCTTTGTGTTATGATCCCGCAATCTACGATCTTGACTCCCCTTCCCGATTCTATGTAGGATGTCAATTGTAACTTCCTTGGCTACGGGGTAATTTAGTTACTAATATACTATTCCACTGCTATTTGTGGCTGCTAAATCTGCTACAAAAAAACAGATTGCACCTGCATCTAGCATTGCACCAGACCCTGATTCTCCTATGGCCTGCTATAGTCTGTTATTAACAACATAGATCTCCACACTATCACTTGTCCTAGTCACTTTTTCTAAAAATAATATATCTTTTCTTTTTAAATTTTTCATATTTATTTTTAAAATGGTGTAGACTCACTAACGATTAACACGACGTGCAAGTGATTTAACTAGCTGATAGATGAAAGGGTCTATTACACTATTTCAATCTTTTGGAAGGTTCTGGATTCAAAATATCATGGCGTGATCAGTTCAAAAACAAAGTAAATAGATATCAGGGGTTGCTATGCATTTTTCTATCAAAGCATACTGCTATATGTTCATGTTCATCAACTTAATTATTAAAGGTGTACAAGTATATTCTTAAAACTTGATTGTGAGTATGGCTAATGGCTAGTCATATTAATCTTTCTACTGTCCTCCTATGAAGAGCCAGCAGAGTAATATATGGGTATCAGTGACATCTGTGTACCGCAAAATCTCGTGATTCTATGAACACAATGAGAGCTAGTTATACTTATACTCTATGTGATTCTTACAGGGTGAAGAAGAACAAAAACATATTGGCAAGATTGTTGAATTTTTTCAAACTACTGATAGGAAAAATTATTTCCGGGTCCAATGGTTTTACAGAATTCAAGATACAGTGAGTACCGAGTATGTCGTGATATTTATTTAGTTATGTTGAAATATATGTCATTGTAATTATTGCTTCTGATTTTTTCACAGGTTGTCAAAGATGCAGGTGATTATCACGACAAGAGGCGTTTGTTCTATTCATCAATAATGAATGATAACTTAATAGATTCCATAATAGAGAAAGTGAATGTTAGATACATAAAACCCAAGGTATGACAAAACTCAGTTAATATCTTTCTTATTTTTCTATTTGCTCTCAACTTCATCTGATTAGGGACTGCTGCCTTGTCAATTTTGAGGTTTATATTTCTGTCTTTGTATGTAATAATTGCTAGTTCTTTTTTCTGTGTGACTTCTTGCAGGTTGGTCCGAGGTCGACTTCTGTTTTACCATCTAACTTCTATTATGATATGGAATATTGTGTTGAATACTCTACATTCCGCAAAATACCAACAGGTATGTCATGAGTGAGTGCATGATGCTTTTGATCTTTTCTATACCAAAATTTTCTTGTGATTACTAGACAAGGAATTGAGAGGCAGAAGTGCCTTGACAGGAAGAAAAAAAGTAATTTATGTGCTTCTTGCAGTTTTCATGTTTGTTTGATGAACACAAAAATTCATTTTTTGTAGTGATCTCAAGTTTTAGCTAAAAAATCATCTATTCCCTGGTCATATTATATACTGTTATATAACACCAGTTCTTAAGTGGTCATCATTTGCATCCTTTAACTGTTGAATTGATAACAAAGTTCAATTTCAGTGATCATTTAAAACTGCAAGTTGAGATATTCAAGCTAAGTTCATAAAATATGTGTTGTTTTGTTTAGATTTATAGCTAAAAAATGTCTATATTTCTAGATAATGTTGTTAAGATTAAGGAGTCATCACAACCTGCTGTGCTCGAGAGTCTCCCAACAGAGGCATCTACTATTTCCAAGACCCTACCTAGTTCTGAATCACACAGGACAGAACTGACATTGCTAGATCTCTATTCTGGCTGTGGTGGCATGTCAACTGGACTGTGCTTAGGTGCCAAACTATCATCAGTTAGTCTTGTCGCGGTAATTATACATGAAATTCATATTTGTACTGAAATTATTTGTATTTCACAAATTACATTGAATATCATTGTTGTACACTGATCTTCTATTGTTTGCTTTTTTTGCTCAGAGATGGGCTGTTGATAGTGATACGTCTGCAACTGAAAGCTTGAAACTAAACCATCCAGAGACGCACGTAAGTGCTGAGTATCTTCTACAAATGTTTTGGATGATAAATTTTCTGATTCCGTATAATATTTATTTAATTCTATTGTATAGGTGAGAAATGAATCTGCAGAGGACTTTCTGCAACTATTGAAGGAGTGGGAAAAGCTATGCAAACGGTATAATGTTGGTGACACAGAAGGAAAAACTCCAATACGGTCAAGGAGCTCAGTAGGAAAGAAGCAAGTGAATTATCAATCTGATGATAGTTCTGATGATGAACTTGAAGTATCTAGGTTAGTTGATATATGCTACGGTGATCCCAGTAAAACAGGAAAACATAGTCTACATTTGAAGGTAATAAATCTAATTTCTGTCAATTTTTGACTGTTTTTCTTCCAAATAAAATCTTAGTCTTCTTGAAATATGTATTCAGATGTAGTTACTTGCTTGTTTTTAGATATGGTGATATTCATATCACCTTCAAATGACTAGTATTTGCCATTGTTTCAAGTTCGGATACATTTTTTTATTATACAATTTGATAATTCGATGTTGACAACTGTGGGTCATAAAAAGGCATGCAAATTCAAAAAAGGCTTTGCTTTCTGACTTCATCGGTTAAAGAGAAACAGAAAAAAAATCAAGTGAGATTTAAACAAAGGCAGTGTTAAAAATTTGTTGGACCTTAAGAATTACTAGAAACCAAAATTGAATTTGGCTGTTCTATTCTGTAAAGTAGCCGTTACAGGCATAAGAAGAGCCATTATAAAAGTTATCTGTAGCTGTTACAGAATCTAAGAGCAGCCATTAGTATTATTAGAGTAACAATTATTATTATTAGGAGCAGTTACTAAACTTAGGAAGAATACGAATGGAACAGAACCATGTTCTGATCATGTTGAAATATTAGAAAGAGATTATATTTGGGAGGGAGAGACCAAGCTCTCGAATTCTTGGAAGGGAGAGAGCCAAGATTCTTGAATTCTGAATAATTCTGCTTATTTTTTGTAAATTTTAAGATAACATTGTCCTAAGCGACCAATCAGATTTTGTTAATGTTCCATAAACTTTAACTTTAGTCTTGCAGACTCTACTAGTCTACATCACCAGCCCAATACATCTAATGGCGAAAAATTATTAGTTTTGTTGACACTATTTGATTTTATTTTTGTTGTGTTTTATTGAGTGTCTTTATGTACTCTTTCCTATAAAAGGAGCAACCTTTCATTGGAATAATCAAGTTCTAAAGTTATACAATACTTTTAATAAGTTTACTGTCTAATCTTCTACTCATATGTTTCCATATTGAAATCTCTGAGAATATTCATGAATTTCTTTTGTAGGTGAACTGGAGAGGTTATGATGAAAGTGAAGATACATGGGAACCAATTGAAAACTTACAGTATATAACTTGATTCTTTCCAATGATTGATAATTTTAAGTATTTTTAGTGCATCAATACTTATTATTATTATTTTTGTGTATGCAGCAATTGTAAGCAAGTCATTCAGGATTTTGTGAGAGAGGGGATACAATCAAAACTCTTGCCTCTTCCTGTAAGTAGTATTTTTTATGGTGTAAATTTGAAAAAATCTAGAGGGTTTTTGCATTTTAATTAGAATTGTTGCTTAAAATCATTTCAGGGTGAAGTTGATGTTGTTTGTGGAGGTCCTCCATGTCAAGGAATTAGTGGATATAATCGCTATAGAAACATGGAATCACCACTGGATGATGAAAGAAATCATCAGATAGTAGTTTTCATGGATATAGTGAAATATTTAAAGCCCAAGTATGTTTTAATGGAGAATGTGGTTGACATATTAAGATTTGACAAGGGTTCACTTGGAAGATATGCTTTAGGTCGGTTGGTACATATGAATTACCAAGCAAGATTGGGAATTGTTGCAGCTGGGTGTTACGGTCTTCCACAATTTCGACTGCGTGTTTTCATGTGGGGGACTCATCCTGATGAGGTGTGTTTTATAATTTGATGAATGTGGAATTGAAAACTAAAACATCTCTCTCTTTTAAAAATATATTTTAAAGCTTATGCCTATGTTAATTGACCTAACTTTAAGGGAATGCAAATGTCTCTTTCCATCAATACATTCAACATAATGCAGCTACTGTCGTTTCTAACATTCATTGTTGTACCTCAAGAATACTAACCAAAGTATTTTTCTAGGGGTAAGCTACATGAATCAAATGATGCAATTGTGTTCCATCAATAAATTTTCAATCAGTTTTAGGCATGATTTTACTGTCTTGTCATCAATAAATGTCACTTTTTTCTTGTTAAATACATTAGTTCCTGATGTATGGTGCACTCTCAACCAAGACAATATTGTCATAACTTCTCAGTTATGCTCCTTTTATAGTCTAATAATCAGTACCATACTACATTAGTAGTCTACCGTTCACATTTTTTTCCTTCTAACTTTAATTGTGCCTTTCTATCAGAAATAGCACTAGAATATTCATCATTTGCTTGAATTATATTTTTGAAATTCTACTATTTCTTTGTCTAGCTTAATTATAAATTTGAACTTCTACTATTTCTTTGTGTTTGTGTCCAAGATACCTAAACTATGTGACATGTTGTATCTATCACCTCCGAGACAATGTGCTAGGTGCAGACCCAATTAGTAGGGCCCACTTTAAGTTAATTGCATATTTTAAATAGAATAAGGGTAGGAAACCGAGAAGATTCGGTTGTTTTATGTGAACTAGCTCAGGAGAGATCGGACTCTCTAATTCCTAGAAAATTATGCTACTTATTAGTTTATTATTCCTATTGCAGCAGTTGTAATTTCCTTTAGTTCTGTAACTGCTCCTGCTGGTAGTTACTGTAGGATTACTCTATCAATAATATTTAGTTTATCATTCTATCCATCACTCTCACAAATATCAAAGAACTATCACAATTCTAGTTTGTACGCTGATAAATTTGTGTTTCATTTATTCCATTTTACTTATTGTTAAATAGAACCTATATTATTCCAAGGTTCACTACCACCACTCTTGTTTACTACCTTCTATTTCCACTAAAACATCTTTGTAAAAAACATGTATTAAGGGTTTCTTGTTTCTACAAAAACTTTAGGCTATGTTTGGATACGTAAAAAAGAACGGAGCGGAATGGAGCGAAGTAGGATGGAACGTAGCGGAACTGAGTGGAATAAAAATACCATTCCATTGTTTGGGTAGGTCATGATGGAATACATTCATTTTGTCATTCCGTCCAAATTGGAGGGTATAAAAAATGAGGGAATGGGATGGAATGCATTCCATCCGATACCGCTCCATTCCATCTTTTTTAATCAATTCAAACGACGGAACATAACTTTATTCCATTCCGCTCCATTCCATCATATTCCATCAATCCAGACATACCCTTAATGTTGTGATCATCTCCGACCCTTCTATGATCCACTATGTTATTCTACCAAATGTAATCTACTATTATGTTTATCCCATTTATGGATATCATATCTTCTATTTACCACTGATTAAAAACCGAAGTGTAGAAACAAGTTTGCTCTCATGTAGGCACATGACAATTCTTAGAATTTGAGTTGGGCCTGACTCATCCGTACAAAACAGGCTTGTAAGGTGATGTTTGTCCCACTTATAAACACAATTGAAGGTGTTGGGGTTGCAATGAAGGCAAGCCAAATGCCGCAATTAAGGCGACTAGGGGTGGACCGCAATTAATGCGGAAAGTCCAACAACAATAAATTCTCCTGCCCACCAATTTCCATTGATTTCAATTGTGCAAATATTTCAAGTTTAAAAGCAAGTTTAGTGTCAATTACTTTCTTTACCAAATTCTTTCTCAAAATTATGAGAACTCATGTTTATCAATGCATTAATGTGGTTGTTCTTACAAAGATGCGATGTACTTGAGATATGCAAGTCATACAACATATTACTTACTTACAACTGACAACATAGGATTAACAAAGTCACATCTTCTATCTATTTCATAAAGATTTGATAATGTTTGATGTTGGCTATTGACAATCCGACACAATTCCTTCTCTTTTTTTGGGCTTTGGACAAGCTACATAAGATAAGCAAGCACAACATAGGCAGAGGATAGATCTCTCATTTGCTTACTACATACATGTCTATATAGAAATATATCAGGAGCACATCTGTTTTCAGAAAGTAGAAGATCTCGAAGATGAATTTAACTATGATTCAACGGACATAAAACTATCCTCTAGGACAAATCTTCTAGAAATAGACAACCGAACTCACAAACTGGCAATGTGAATGAAATGCAGCCCAAACATGAAGTTCTGATGGGTTCCTTTCCACTGAAAATTTGTCTTTCATTGAATATCTTCCAATCATTTTCTGCCAAGGGCACTTTTTTCTTAGCATATCAATTTTACTCACTGATCTAATTCCTTTTATTCATCACATCAGATTCTAGCATGTAGTAAATTTTCTGCATTTTTGTTAAGAGACACTTCAATTTTACACAACATTAATAAAATGACTTGTATTAAGCACATCAAATTCTTGTATGAAGTAAATTTCTTAAGTTTCATTGATCCAAATTTTCTTTTTTACTTTTCTATGGTTTGTTATTTTTTTCCAGGTCCTACCCCAGTTTCCATTGCCAACACATGATGTTATTGTTAGATACTGGCCTCCACCTGAGTATGAGGTATTAATCCTTACTCTTTTTTGTAAAATAATTCTATCTGGAGTTCTTTGTATTTTTCATTAGATTTTGGCTTTTGTTTGCAGCGTAATACTGTTGCTTATGCTGAGGACCAAAAACGAGAATTAGAGAAAGCTGTTGTTATTCAAGATGCCATCTCCGATCTTCCTCCTGTAACGACTTTCTTTTGCTTGACTTTTTAAAAGGCTTCTCTTAATTGACCTTGGTTTTTATAGTGAACTACTAATGTCATATTCATCCTTCATTTATTCAAAAAGCAGAGATATTGATTAAATTCTGGTGTGGTACATTTTACACAATAATACTGTTAGAGAAACCTTTTCCTTTATGTTTACTGGTTTTAACATAATTTTAACTTAACTCAATATTGTAGGTCACAAACTTTGAAACTCGGGAAGAAATGGCTTACAAAAATCCTCCAGAAACAGAATTTCAAAGATATATACGGTCGACTAAGTATGGTAATAGTGCCTTCCCTTGAGTACATAATTTGTAATAATAAAAAATATATTTAGTATTCATAAAACATAGTTTGCTTATCTACATTGTTATCAGTGGTTATGTCTCCAATCACCGTCTATCTTTCACATTTGTATATATAGGAAAAAAGAAACTCCCATACAAACTGGTTGCTATGGATGTATCCCATATGTCAATTTCATATTAAATGTAACAAATTTCTATGATAGTTGACTCCACATTCTTTTGTCATTTCAAAATTAAAATAAATGCACCTATTTTTTCCTAATTCAATTTATTAAGCCTTTGTGGAATTTATCTTAATGGCTGGTGTTACTTTGTTTTCATCAAAGTCCATTTAGTTTACATATGCTGTACGCAGTTCCCTTTTTATTGTTTATGTATTTTAGAAATAAATATATGGATCAAGCATTGGCTCATCTTGTTCACTTTTAATTCATTTTGAGTAGAGATGACTGGATCCACATTAAATGGAACAACAGAGCAAACTCATTTATTATATGATCACCGACCTCACTTAATGTCTGAAGATGACTACCTACGCGTTTGTCAAATACCCAAACAAAAGGTTGTATTCTGGATCGATTTCATGTATTGTACCTGTGTCATTCCTTGAACAACTTTTAATTTAATATTACTGCAGGGAGCGAATTTCCGTAATCTTCCTGGTATAATTGTTGGAGCTGACAATGTGGTTAAGCCACATCCAGTAGAGAAAATTCCATTGCTACCATCTGGAAAGCCATTGGTAAGTCTTTATATTGCTTTCCGTAGATATTACTCCCTCCGTTTCAAAATGACTGTCGTTTAAGATTTTTGCACACAAATTAAGGAATGCAATGATGTTGTCATAAGACTATTCTTAGAGTTTGGACTAGAACTCACATAACTCCATAAAGCCAACCTGTGTGGTAAAAACTGCCCCAGAGTTATAAGGATTACTTCGGCCATATCCCTAATTGACACGGGAACTCAACTATTATTGTTTAATAGTAGCCATGGCAGACTGAGGTCCTGGAATTTTTGCCAACCGCCGTGGCCAATTTGTGAAGGATGGCATTTTATGGACTAAATTGTGGCTTAAAATTTTGGACTTCTGGTCTGTCACCATATGCAATTCATAACACTTATCTCAACACACCCCTCACATCCAAGACCACACATCTAGACTGTGGATTGATATGGGTGGAATAAAAGAGATCATGGCATAGCAACAAAACAATTAAATCAATAATAATAATAAAAATGATTATATACTACTATTTAGGTATATTGCCAAAATTTACATTGTTTATGCCTGTTTGATAGATATAGGCTCTCATTCTTATCTCTATAACTAAGGGGATCGTGGTCATAATCTTTTCATTATAAATACATATGGCTAGGGGTTGTTAGCCTCTCAAGCAGTTCAATTGAAGCAAACTCGTAAGCTGTATCACCCGCCATATGTATAGAAAAATAAGATGTTATTAGATGTTTCTGGTTTCTATATGCAGTTGAAGTTCCAGGGTTTTGAATGAGAGGTTATGTATTTAGATTCAAACGGTACAAAGTTAGTTAACCTTTGCCGACTTTACTGTTTGGTGTCAGGTCCCAGATTACTGCCTCACTTATGAACAAGGGAAGTCCAAGAGGTAATTTTTTTCAGTTCAGTAGTCTATCTGGTTATTTTTCTTGCTTTGCATTTGATTACTTTTGATCTAAATTTGGACGTATATGTAGGCCATTTGGACGGTTGTGGTGGGATGAGACTGTTCCTACTGCACTAACCTCCCCAAGTTGTCATAACCAGGTCTTATCGCAGTCTCTAATTTGTTGCAAAAATCGCAAAATTGGTTTCTTATATATTCAAACTCTTGCAGGTAGTACTACATCCAGCTCAGGATCGAATCCTCACTATACGAGAATTTGCCCGGCTGCAAGGATTTCATGATTATTATAGATTTTGTGGGTCTGTGAAAGCAAGGTAAAACCACTATTTAATGAGTATAAAATAGGTTTAATTTAGATCTGCTTTTCTTTCCTAAAACTTACCAAATTTTGATTGTAGACCAAGATTTGGGTTTTGGTTTTGTCCCTTGTTTTGTAAAAGGGGGATCCCTTTTGGTCCACCGTAGTCACAGCTCTGCGTTTGAAATCTGTTTTGAACTGGATCAACACCCAATGTAATTATGATAAAAAAAGACGGAAACAAAAGTATTTTGTAGATAGTGAACAAACAAGGGACAGAAATAGAAACTGATTTTAGAGGGACTACAATCAAAATTCCCTTGCAAAACATTGTGTCTTTACATTTTTCTTATGATATTATTTACAGGTACCGTCAAATTGGAAATGCAGTTGCTGTTCCTGTTTCACGAGCTTTAGGATATGCCCTAGGAATTGCACATAGGAAGCTTGGCAGTAATGAGCATCATATGACCCTCCCATCCAAATTCTCTCTTTCCAATTATCTTCAATTATCTTGTAATCATGTTGGCGACTCCTCCATTTTTGAGTCAGAAAATGCAGGCGTAACCACCATAGTTGAGTTGGAAAATGCAGGCGACACCACCATAGTTGAGTCAGAAAATGCTGGCGACACCACCTTAGTTGAGTCAGAAAATGCTACCAACACCAAAATTGCTACCACCATCTTTGAGTCAGAAACTGCTGCCAACACCATTTTTGAGTCAGAAAATGCTGCCAACACCGTTTTTGAGTCAGAAAATGCAGGTGACACCACCATTTTTAAGTCACAAAATGTTGCTGAAACAACCATTTTTGAGTCAGAAAATGCTTCCGACACCACCATTTTTAAGTCAGAAAATGTTGCTGAAACGACCATTTTTGAGTCGGAAAATGCAGGCGACACCACTGTAGTAGAGTCAGAAAATGTTGCCGAAACGATCAGTTTTAATTTAGAAAATGGTCAGGACACCACCATTTTTGAGACGGACAATGCTGCAGACACCTCCATTTTTGAGTCAGAAAATGCAGGTGACACCACCATGTTTGAGTCAGCAAATGCTGCAGAAACCACCATGTTTGAATCAGAAAATGCTGGAGACACCACATGTTTGAGTTAGAAAATGCTGCCGGTGCCAATTTTGATTCAAAAAATGTTGCTGCAACCACCATTTCTGATTCAGGAAATGCTCCAGACACCATCATTTTTTATTCAGAAAATGCTGCAGAGACCTCCATTTTTCAGTCTGAAAATGTAGGAGACAACACCATTTTTGAGTCAGAAAATGCAGGTGAGTCTGAAAATGTAGGAGACACTGCCATTTTTGAGTCTGAAAATGCTACCAAAACCTTTTTTGATTCAAAAAATGCCGGAGACACCAACTAGTGTAACATTCATTCTATTTTATTTCTGTTGGTTTCTTGACAAGTGGAGTTGACGTTTTGACTTTCTCGCTGAGCAATTTTTTCAATCTCAGACACTTTTCAGCTGCTCCATTTAATTTGAATTTGTAGTCTCATTTATTTGTACAACTCTTGTGCTACTATGTAACTTATTTGTGTCACTTATCATATCTAAGTACTAGTTATTTAAAAAAAATAAAATCCATTAAGAACTTGAATTTCCGTTGTAAGCAAATTATTTCAATTCCTCATTTTAGACCTGCAAGCTTGTATGTAAGTGTTTACCTCAGGTCTTGGTAAATAACGCTGATCTCTTAACATAAAGTTTATTGGCGAGATCGATTAGGGAATCTTAGTACACTTTTTGAGTGTTTTTACAAAGTATGTTCAAAATAGTCTGTTTGACTAAGGCGAAACAGACTTAAAAGCAATAAAGCAGGAATCGTAAAATAAAACCAAGACGTTTTAAATTGTAAAATAGATGACATAACATCAAAATAATTGAAAATGAGTTGATTCAAACATACATCACTTGTGTTTGACTCATTTCGCTTGTTCGCTTGGATACTCTAAGTGACTAGCATGTAGGAATGTGAAAGTTTGAACCTCTTCTACTATTTACTAAGTACTTTATTTATAATACATGAAAATAACTATTATTTAGCGGGCTTTGCTTCTTTATGAGCCACGTGTCTCTTGTAACTTTCCTTTATGAATCCACTTTCTCCATTCTTGCTATCGAACCCACGTTCTCTATTGTAACTCCCCTCCATGAATCCACGTTCTCTATTCACAACGCTCTGCTTTGCTAGTTATGTCCTCTTTTGAGCTTTTTAACACTCTTGGGCTCAATCTATTCCTCATGAGGTCTCTCTTCTCGTCGACAAGCCTAAATTGACCTTTTATGAAATCTCTTTCGGTCGATTGCTTTTGTGGTCGACTTCCTATAATCTAAAATCTTTAAAAAACCCTTTTTGTTTTTGTTTGGATTTTGACCCATTTATAAAAATCCTAGCCAACAAATTGTCCCCCCAAAATGTCCTTTTCGACTGAAAGAACAAAAATGAACATTTTAATCCTTTTCTCTTAGTGTGAAGTGATGCCATTGTAATCATTATCTTTTTCCTCAAACGTTACATCAGCGATCACACAACCACTTCCATATTTTCTAGTTTCAACTTCCTAGGATAATCGTGGCCTCCAACTCACCAACTTCTTCAACTCAGTTGTCACCTGTTTGACACGTGCCGGTCGTGTAGCCATAATTTTTTTTCTTTCTCCCCAACATTTGGCCTCCTTGTGGTATAAATACCTATTTCATCTCTCCGATTTCCTCTTTACGTTTCTTTGCATACTCAAGCTCTTTGTCTTCGTACACCACATAACTTTTCATTTTCACTTTTATTCAAAAAAACATTCCATCATCTCCATGGCCGCTTCAAGCCAAATCTCTGAACACATTCAAACTCTCCAGGAAAATGAGCTAGTTTCTAACATGAGTGAATTCTTTGTTCATGATCAAAACACTTTTGTCTTAGAACTAACGCCAACACACAATTTCCAAACTTTTCGCTCCCAGCTGTTGCTCCCCTCATCTGCAACGATACTGCTTACGCTCTATTGGAGCCTATTCCTGATGAAGTTAGGGTACCTAAACACTCGGAAGGTTGCTTCCCTACTCACAAAACCACCTAACCCTTTGTCAAAAGAGATTGCCCTATAGATTTTTCACACATCTACCGTACATCTAAAGTCTTCTGTTCCGCTCCTGCTGTCAACTAAGATTATATTGCATGGTTGAATAAAATAGAGAAAGTGAATGGTGACGTTTGGAAGGCTCAAGGCTTTTTTGACTTGAGTCAGCTTTCTAGGGTTGAACCTAGTTATTGCAATCACATGCTGATTCCCACACTCTATTTCTAGGGAAGGCTCTACAAACACCTTCCATTTTGCACCTGAGATGCTCACTCCCACCTTGATTGACGTTGCGGCCATCACTAGTCTCCGCCCTACAGGTGAAGCGTTTCTTCCCACTGAAGTAGACGCAAATGTTATTCCTTTTGAAAAGGACATTGCTGGCTTCACCAAATATATGGAGGGTTCTCACGCCAAAGGTGTCAACACCGTGTCTGATGAAGAACACATTGTCTTCTTGGCCTTGTGGCTTTCCAAGTATGTTTTTTACAGTCGATCTCTGAAGGTAGCTAAATGATTCATTGTGTTAGCTCATCAACTCTATTTGGATCGACACATATGCCTGAGCAAACTTATTTTGGGGTCGCTCTATGAATCACTCAACGTGGGGGTCGATCATATGACCTCACTTTCATATACTACAAGCTACATGTTTGCTGGGCCTTTATGTCCGCTTCAATTGTGTTTAAATGCCACTTTTGCGAGCCAGCTCAAACTGCGTCTCTCTGAAGCACAGGAGACTGCATTCGCCCAACGTGCCAACGAAAGCCTTCATCTTACTGCAATGACGCCTTCTAACAATGACATGACTCGAGAGGAGTCGCTTGAGAAATACTTGAAGTTTTCTTTAGGTGCACTTCTTTTCATCCAAGCATGACACCCTTTGCCTCTAGACCATATGGTCCTGAGTGGTTCACTTGACCATTTCCTCCTGCTGATCCTGCACAGGTCCCTGAATCCAAAACCATATGGCAAGCTTTCTTAACCCCTAGGCTCATAACATCTAGGGTAGGAGCTAATGATGGCGTGACACTCCTGTGTCATCAGCCTAATCTGGTGGCTAGACAGTTTTGCTTGTGCCAACCTTTGCCTCACAGGTTTCATAAGCCATCTGACGAGCTGTGTCTTTCATCTACCAGCTACAATGAGGGAGAATATGCTCAACGAATTCAACATTTTGCTGCTGATGTCCCTAAGTTAACTCTTTTCGCCTTCGAGCCCCTCTTCTACACTGCTAAGGAGTTCTATGATTGGTGGATTGTGCACTTTGTGCAAAGTAATGAAACTCTTAAGTCCTTCAAAGCTCGACCGAACCATGCTTTTGAAGCCATACGGAAAAAGTTTAAGAAAGGTATGGCTTACTATTGTAATCATCAGTCGCCTTCTTGTTTATATTTTGACTTCTAACGCTTCTTCTTATGTTATTTCCTTATTCGACGGTTGAGCATAAGAAACGTGCCAGGGAAGCTATCAGTGGTGCGACTGTTTCTCCCTCAACTAATGAGTACTTTTAAACTTATTCTCATGTAATCTGCTAACTTGATAATTCACTAGATGTTTGGATTCTCTTTCTAACTCACTGATTATGTTGACACGTTCGTAGGCCCCTGAAGCTAACATCGTCGTCCCTCTTAAACCGTCCCTAAAGAGATGGAAACACTCTTCTAATTAAGAGAAACGAGCTGACAACGCGTCCTCACCTTCCATCTCCAAAAAATCCAAGAATCCCCAATCAACTCGATCTGAGGTTGCCTCAAAAAAGGCCACTTCCGACACTGTGCCTGCTCTAGTGGTGGCAAGAGAACGAGTTTTGCAGCCTGTGCCAACTCGACCAGAAAGAATTAACTCTAGTCTTGAAGGAGACCATCAGGTACCTTCTTCTTCAAAGACTCTTTATCTTAGAAATCGTTTGTCCTTTTGACATTTTTGTTCTCACTTGCCTTTATTGTTTCAGCGACTGACAGTTAAAACTAAAAAAACGCCCCACTAAGATTGTCTTGAAATCTCTCAAGACCAAAAGGAAACCTACTGTGGTCTTAACTGATAGCGAGACTTTTGGGAGCGACCTCAACTCTCCTGTCACCCAAGGTACTTTTGCGTATTCTCCCATCAGTGAGGGATTGGAGGACGACGCCAATAATGACAACCTAGGGGAGGGTATTAGAGGTGATGACTTAAAGGATCCAGAACATGCTGCTACTGTTGATGTCACCATAACTACTAACCAAAATCCCTTCCAAATAGAAGAAGTGACTCTTCAGGCACCAGCCTTTTTGGCACCATCTCGACCCCTCTTAATGTGATTCCCGCGACCAGCACCATGTCGCCCCAACAAGTTGCTGCTCTCAAGAAAACTAGCCCCTTTGAGTATTTAAAGTTTTTGGTGAACGCCAAGAACCGTTCGACTGACGAAGGCTCCAGTACTTCTACTGCATCTGGAGGTATCTCTTCTCTTGGTACTCAATAAGAAGTTCTTAATCGTCTCAAAACCATGCTCTTTCATGTTGATTTGATCACCCATTTGGAGGCGTATCCCTCTGATGGTATTAAGATTAAAGAAATGATGAGGAAAGTTGTTGTTCAAGTCGCTTCTCTTTTAGTCCTAAAATTCGTGGCTGAAGCGTCTACCTTCCTTGATTAGCTTTTGGTCGACTTGGTTGAAAAGAAAGAGATTCGGGAAAGATGCTTTCCCAAGGAGAAAGAGTGCACTGTTGAATTGGCTTTCGTGAATTCTTCCATGGATGCTAGTGAAGAACTGAAGGAAACTCTTGACAAAGAAAGAGCAGACTTTAAGACTAGGGCCACAAATATTTCCTAATGGCAACAGTAGATCGTAGTGTTGAAGCATCAAATTGAAGGGCTGGAGAAACAAATTGACGAGGCATAGACTTTGTAAGGTGTTGGGTTTCACGCAGCTCAACAAATGCTGAATAATGAAGCTGTGGCTGGGGTCGCTCATCTGGAGCGTGTTGGCGTGTTGGATATTAAGCTAGCCGACCTTGACACCTCTATCTTGTTAACC